TGTATTATGGAGATGTCACTTTGCTGTGAACATTTGGGGGAGGTTTCTCAGAGACTTTTTTGCGTCAGTTTGGCTCTGAGCAGATGTTGTCCTGGAGTAGGAACCTATTTATCTCTTTCATAATAAAGCTGCTCTGTGGCAGGAAGTGTTTTTCACCATCATTCAAAACATCTAGTTAAAGATAAATAGGAGAATCTTCAAGGGTGTAGAGTCGGCTTAAGGGGAGGTTTGTCATGTGGCTCACTTCAACACTTAGGGTGTTCTTGACGAAGTTGTCTTCCATTGTTTTTATTCTTAACAAGTTTGTTTTCTCACAAAGAATAGAGCCGCTTTTTGATATGCCTTGACATGCTACATCATCAGCTACATATATACTTGCTACTAACTACTTGCTACTAACTACGGAAAAAGGTTCCCATCTACCCTTTCTGTACAAAAGTACAATACCAATGCAATCTGCTTCGCACCTTCCACCTTTCATGCATAAAATTTTGAAGGCTTACAGCTTACTAACTTTATGAACACCTTTGTTCTGAACTTTCACGTTGTCCTCAAGGTGAAAAGATGAAAACTGTTGCTCGATAAGTTCATACAGAATTGTTGCTCGATAAGTTCATACAGCTTCCGCAATGCTTCATCAACTTTTTCGCCCTTCCCAATGGATTAATACCTCTAGCTCTCCTATTTGAGAAAGTAGATATATTCCAAAATACAAATGCTCGAAGTGTATATATTTTGTACTTTCTTTCCCCGAATTGCCATACTACCGTACTAAGCAAAAATAAAATTAGAAGAAGAGTTCTCTCGTCCTTGTTCCATTAAAAGTGGTTCCTCGAGGGGTCATTGCTAGAGGGAAAATCTTTATCCTTGGACAGGAGACCACAATGCTTACATCATTTCTCAAAAAGAAATTAGTTCTAAAGTATCAACTACCTATCATCATCACTTCTCCCTTCAAACTATAGCACATGCTAGTTTTCTCCTTTTCACAAGAAACTGAGCTTTCATTGAGACAAATGAAAGAATGTGGTCATGTACAAGGGCCTAAAGAAACAACCGACAAAAGGAGGCTCCAATCCAAAACAATAAAACCTAACTGATAATTACACAAAACTTTCGTAACAAAATCCCATAGAGAGATTAAATCGAGTGAAATCCCAAGCGTCTCTCTAGCCAAATATCCCACAAAATAGAGAAGAAACAAGTCTGCCAAAGAGTTTTGCCCTTATCCCACAAGGGGGATATAGCAAAACCTCCTTCACCATCACCTGTCAGTTTTGTTACACACCTCAGAAACTCTGGAAGACTCGAAAACTGCACCAAAACAACTGAGCAAACTAGCATCGCAAGGTCCTCCAAAACACCTCTGCATTGAATATACCACTAAGGCTTGCCCCAAAAAAGAAGGGGATACAGTACATGCTAGTTACACTAAGCATGTGTAAAAAGCCAAAACGCTCCAATCACCAAACATTCTAGTTATACTGAGTTGCCATATTAAAGCTGATGATATTGAAGTTTAGTGAAATTTCCATTTCTTGTAAAAAAAAAATATGCAAATGAAAATGCCATATTTAATCAAGATTAGGCTGATCACAGCGACATACTTGAGCTTTGCCATTGTGTTCTCCACCAGAGCATAATTGAATAAAATGCCAATAGAAGAGCGGTGCCAGCCATTAATACAGCTAGACCAATTATATCTCGACCCAATATTACAATCAACCAGCAGCCCCATATGATCAGCACCACGATGGGAGAAATAACTAGTATCCATGCAGATAAAGAGAGAAAACCACATAACAGATCTAGCTGAGGTCCTTGCAAGATATTTGGCCACTTTCTAGCGAATATCCAACTGAAAAATAATTGTAATTGCATTAAAGTTTGATGGAAGAATAGACAAAAAACATATTCATCTACATCATAAAGACATAAACATATCAATTTCCATTGTGCACGTGTACACATAACACACAATAAAAATTAGGATGAGAAAGCTGGATAGACAATCATCAACAGCCAGGGAGACAATTTGAAACAGGGGCAATATTTAATTATAATGAATAATATAAAACAACAGATACCAACCTACTGCTTATCTTCAACAGATCAAAAACTAGTGAATTCACCTTAATGTTTAGGCCTTTAATAATGTGAGAACTTTAATTGAATCGTAACCCATGTAAGACCATAAACAAATGTCTGATCCAGGCTCTTCACCAAACTACGCATCTTTCCAACCCAAGATAGCCCAGCATTACGTTGATTCTCCCGCACATTTAACAGTGATGTGATACACAACCCAGTAAATTTTGATATGAAGTATGAAGTATGTAAAATGCTATCAAATACCGATGCCCCACACTTGCATCCAATACCTTACCCCAAACCAGTATAACTATAGCATTCTTGATTATAACCTGGAGCCCCTAAACTAATGCGGCATTACATTAATTTATTATTCCATCCAAGGATAATTCAAACAGAAGAAATCCGTATCCATAGCAAGCAAAAAATAAAAATAATAAACATTACCTATAAATCCGCCATGGGCGCCAGTTCACAGCCCATAGTATGAAAAACGAGGCGGAGCCAAGCACCGAGAAGAGCGACCCTGATATCACACACGCTAATACCACCTTATGCTCGTCCCCTTCCATGGCGTCCTCCTATTAGCTACACCGCATGCATCAAACCCGGAACTGATTCCACTAAAAAAGAAGAAAGAAACGAACAGAAACCAGTAAAGCTCGGGCCTCAGAGCTGAAGAAGCTGGGGGTGTGGGCAATGAAATGAACAATTCCTACCTCTTTTACTGCAGCGGATTGAGACAGAAACAGCATGATTATGAAATTCAGCTAAAATGGGTAGTGCTCAAACATGGAATTTAGGGTTTGGGAAGAAAAATTCGGGCTTAGCTAAGCATGTGAAGTAAAGGGTGAGAGAGAAGAAAGGTGAAGAGTGAGAAGAAAAAAGAAAAGTTGTTGCAATCAAAGTCAAAAAAGGAGAAATGAGAGGAAAGATTGGAAAAGTTTT